GGTCTGTTGATAATAATTGTCAACTAAAAATGTAATTTACTCTTATTTTTATTTTAATTATTGTAATTTATTTCACAGGCACTTAGCTCGTGACTCGGCAACCTCTCACAGGTTGTTTATATGAATCGAAGGCGATGAGATTGTTTAGAAAGAAGTAGATTATCATTATATCGCAGTTTTGTTTCTAACACTTGGGTTTGGATCAGAGGCATAGGGCTTTTTTGGGGGTTTAGTGCAAATTAAAGGTGCCTCGATCAATGAGGTACCAGGTCCGTCGGGGAGTCTTCTTCCTCTTACAATCAACCAGAATCATTTCCCCTTCCCCRATATCTACTCTTTCGACCACTACTGATCTCATTCAAGACTGCATTCGCGAAGRTAACATAAACGATGCTCGCAGGCTGTTTGATCAAAATCCCGCGTCTCGTGATACCGTCGCTTGGAATTCCATCATCACTGGTCAYATCAGACACAACCAAATGCATCGCGCACATCAACTATTCGATCAAATACCCGTGAGAAATGCCGTTTCATGGAACACCATGATGTCCGGTTTGAGCGATCCATACCAACTTCACCAACTTTTCTTGCAAATGAACAGAGCTGGTGAAAGGCCCAACCAATTCACATTTTCAACCCTGATTAGTGGCTTCCTKAACAGGTTCCATGTATTCTTGGTCCCGCAGCTTCATGGTCTGATACTTCACTTAGGCCTTAATTCCAATGTCTTTGTGGCGTCAGCATTGATGCGGGGTTATACCCATTTAGGGGATCGAGAGGGCTTATGTCGCGTCTTCGATGACGTCCTTGTAAAAGATGTCAGTACATGGAATGCGTTGGTTGTAGGTTATATGGATYTGGGCTTCACAGTTGAGGCGCAGATAACCTTTGACATGATGCCTGAGGTTAATATCATTTCTTGGACCACCTTAGTTAATGGGTACATYAAAAATAGAAAGATCAATCAAGCACGGTCTATCTTCAATGAGATGACACAAAAGAATGTGGTTTCATGGACTGCAATGATAAAAGGGTATGTCCAATATGRCAAGTATGTGGATGCCATACAATTGTTCATATCGATGCTCAAATCAGGGACTCATCCCAATCATTTTACTTTTTCTACTCTCCTGGACGCTTGTGCTGGTTGCTCTATGTTTCTCTTTGGGAAACAGCTGCACTCATGCATCTTCAAATCCGGTATGTGTTGTGAAGTGGTCTTGTTGACCTCCCTTATTGACATGTACACGAAATGTGGGGACATTGAAGCAGCATTGTGCATTTTTGAGTCCATGGAAAAGAAGAACACGGTGTCATGGAACTCCATCATCGGGGGTTGTGCCAGGCATGGATTGGCAAAGAGRGCATTGTGTGAGTTTGAGAAAATGACAGAAAGTGGAGTCAAGCCTGATCATGTCACGTACATCAATTTACTGTCGGCTTGTGTGCACGGAGGACTTGTTGAAGAGGGTGAAAGGCATTTTCATTCAATGGGAATAACCTACGGAATCCAAGCAGCGATGAAGCACTATACTTGCATGGTGGACCTCTATGGGAAAGCAGGTGCGCTTGACAAGGCAGAGAAATTGGTGAAGGAGATGCCTTTCGAACCYGATGTCGGTGTGTGGGGTGCATTGCTTGCTGCTTCTGGGTTGCACTCGTGTTATGAGCTATGTGAGTTTGCAGCAAATGGACTAGAGAATTTGGCTAGACAAAATGSCGGTATTTACTCTATGCTAATGAAGCTCCACCGTGAAAAAGGTGCATGGAGTCGTGTTGTTGAGATGAGGAACAAGATGATGGAAACAAGTGCTAAAAAGCAAAAGGCTGGTAGCAGGATTGAGTTTGTGCTAAAAAACAAAATCCAAAATCACAAGTGATTTAGGTCATTCATACATACATCACCAGCCATACCTTTCTTGTCCGAKTTGGCATGTAGGAACCAATGTCTTGGATACAAAATGAAATAAAAGACCCACCCTTTGTCTATACAAAGTTACATTTACATTAAAATTTGTTACTGCTCTCATCATCGGTTTGATCTCACCCTCTGAACCAGCAAAATGCCAATCCGTTTTGCACAATATTAGTTGTCATGTTTCTTACAAAGCTTAAACCTCAAAATAAAACGGAATCTTTAATTTGCCCTGTTTCTCCATCACAATTAAGTCATACACATTGTATTGCAGAATGCAGAATAAGTTTCTTACGAGATTGTGTTTCATAATAACTACACAGATAACAACCACTGATGCTGTACCATATCTACAATCATATGATTCATTTACCACCGCAAACGTTTGCCACTTGAGCATTAAGGGAAAGAAATTGAAGTCAGAAGCTACAATTTTAGACTCTTAAGAAATAAGCTAAATACAAAAATGGCTACGAGTATTYGAAACAGCCACATTGTGCCAGGCATTCTTCAATAGCACAGTACTGGGAGTTTGCCAAAAGCAAGCGAAAGCCAAGGCCAAAAATACTTGTAAACCAAATTTAGCTGACTAAGTTTCATGGGTAAAAACCCATCTCGTTATTATATAATGACAACAATGGTAACTACCAAATTGCTCAAAGCAGCCATCAGCAACAGCAGAATTGAGCTTACGTTGCTGCTAAATGCAACTTAGTTGAGACAACACTTCAAGCTTCTAGGAAGAATGGTTCTTCAGTAAGTCCTTTTTCTCACTGCTGTCTTTCTTACTTCTTTTTTAGCTGATGCACTGGGTCCTGGYACTAGTACTCCTCCTACACTCGTTTGGTATATGTCTTTTAATCTGCAGGACAAGCATCAAATTATGAATTAGAATAAAATGACACTATTATTTGAGATTTGAAGAAGCAAAAAAGTTTCTATGCAACTGAAAAAGAATCTCAGCTACCACCAAGCTTGCTCAGTATATCGTACGCATTCTGTATCCAAAACTCACTTGTGCATTTCTTGAACTACCAGAGGTTTGTCAATGAACGGGCAATAAAAGTTTCAACCCTTGGTGTTGGTTTCTTGGGTCATAAAAGTAGAAAAAGAAGAAAAAAAATGATTTCCAGCTACCTTGGCATGCTGATAAGTAGAGCGATCACCGATATTCCAACAATGAGTGGATAGACGGGTGCTGGAGTTAGTTCCTGCTGGACATGGGGGAATAATTAAGCTTATAAATTCTTACATAAATTAAGTACATTAAAAGAAACTCAGTGCTTTAATAGGACAACAGACAAGGCATGTCTATGAGATGACTAGTTATATGAACAATGTAAATCAGGATCAGATTCTACATAATCTTTGCAATAGCATGATATACTGACAAATCCTGATGGTTTTCTTTAAATGCTCACAACGCATTCCGAAGAGGAACTAACCTGTTTATGGTGATCATCTTCAACTTTGTATCTCAAGCGATCCACATGAATTTGGGTATTTTTCTCCAGATCAACCTCAATCACTTCAGATTCAAATCTGAGGTTACTTGATGATAGAGCAGACCGAAGCTGCAGAAGGTGTTTGCCCCGGGGCAACCCCTTCAACTGGAAGAAGTTCGAAAGCGGCAAAGGTAAGAGAGATTCGATATTGGATGGATCGCTGGCTGATCGGACTTCCAATTKTAGGTGTTCATGCAGTTCTTTAATTCTGTTTCCATCAACAATGCCAGTTAATAGTGTCATATCTGGCTGCTCAAAAACCAAAAAGTCTAATCTTCTGATATCTTCGTATCCAACCTACACAAGTCAAACAAGCACAGATGGTAAAACAAAAAAGGGTTGCAACCTTGACTTTAATGAGTTTACATGAAAATGATGAACTTCCCATGATTTGGGCGGACAACTTAGATCTTTCCARGACACAAGTTTAGGCATTTAGCCTCAAAACAAAATTGCTCCACCAATTTTATTTTCAGATAAGAAACTGATAACAGGTCGTATGAATCKAAAAATAAAATCTAAATTATGCTATCTTTAACTCACCTTGACCACAACAGACTCTGGAGAAGCACGTTCAATCTGAGAGCTGTCAAACCTACCTCTCCTTGCTACTCTAACTGTGTATGTTGTATCAGGCTGAAGTCCCCTTAGGCGATAACTTCCTGATGAATCTGTTACAGACTCCTCGTAAAAACCTTTCAAGTCAGAGCGGGCCTCAACTGAAACACCTTCTTTTGGTTGACCAGACAACAGAGTAACCACACCCATAGCACTGTAAGGATCAATACCTAGACTATCAGCAGCAGGAAAAAAGAGATGGCATCTCAAAAGAGATGGTATCTCGAAAGAGATGTAGTTAAAATTTGCAAGTGCATCAGCACGTATARAGTACCCTCCAGCATAAGACAGAAAGACATGATATACTGCAAACATTTGGTGCTTATTTTCTATTTTTAAAATWTRATYTTTTACAAATTATTTATTATTGTTTTCAGATAGGCAAAAGGGGTGAGAGTTTAATATGGACCTTGCATGCACAAGTGTGAAAGCCTTCACTTTTAGATTAATCTTTGAGGGCTTTTAGTTGTTCTTAATCCAGTATTGATGGATCTTGGTTGTTCTTTGAATAACATCAAGGGATTAATTATAAGATCTCCTGCACATATAAAATAAATATGTTCCATTTTAAAACCCTAAAATCATATATATACCATTGGGCAATGCAAAACACCAGGGTTTAGTGTCTGGAAGAGCTTGACATTGTGGTTTTATTGGAGCGCTTTACAAAATTGTAATTCTTGAAGTCAGTGTATGTTTCCTATGATCCCTTGTCATTGTGATCAGTGATAAATGATAATCCTTTGATTCTAATAGGATGAACTAAGAAAACAAATCAAAAAAGGGTGTATTATGTGTTTTAAATTGGATTCATGTCCTTCARCTAATATCATAGTGTTCACAAAAATTGTTTTGAACAAATATGTTGTCAATGACGACATAAAAAACCATAGTTTGTTATGTCTGTTATTTTGATTCTCCTAAACTCATATGTTATATTTGTAAAATTTATAATAATCCAAGCATTTGTAGAAACACCTGGTGTAATTACTTGCTGGAATACTACAAAATGATTGTAAGAAAAGGGTACCCTAATTTCTATGCTAACTGGGTTAAAAACAAGSTTTTCTAAGCCTACTTTATGTTTACACAAAAAGCCCTCCAACTTGTTGGTTTCCATAAAATATAATTCTGGAACTGCAAACATTCGATTTTGGAACCTGTGCACTGCTGGAATAGCATTTTGGCCATGATTTTGTGATATGTGGTTCAATGAGAAGTCATAATTTTACTAATTCGGAAACCTTTAGAAATGCTTTTCAGAATTAGTGTTTTCTACCTATATCATTATGTYCATATTTCTGTAAATTAGTTGTTTGCACTTGGTACAGTTCTTGTAATTATCTTTTGATTCTTGACTATGTAATTTTATTGCAACATATGAATATTCTATGCCTTCAGCAAAATTTCCAATATGTTTGTGTTCTATTTCCCTATATCTTAGTTATCATTTAATTAGCTTGCTGATTTGTTTGAATTCATTTAACCATGACTTTAGAATAATTGACAAATTATTGTTCTTCGAAAACAACCAGGTGCCTTTGCTACTTCCTAAATATATATTCATCTGCTACAAATTAGAACCTAGTATAGTCTAAATTTAATTTGTAATTTTTTTAGTTTCTTTTTTTTGGAAGGATGTCTTAGGCTATGCCTAGACTAATCACGACAAATTGCAACCCTAAGACATYGTCCCTGATAAACTTAGTGGCCACAATTGTTGTGGACACTTTCTGTATTGTGCAAAACTGTGTTCTTTTTTACAAGTGAATAACAAATTGGGTCCCWGAGGTTCACACCTTTTCCCATACTGGTCCCAAAATCAAAATAAATACAAAGACGAGACTTGTTGAGTCCTTGCCACCAATAGAATAAAAGAATCTGTTAACTCAATTAAAAATGGGGGTATTTTAGTCTTTTTCACATTTTTTTATCTTTATCCTATTTTGTCTTTTTTGTGTGTAGACACACACACACACACACCTGCATATATGTGTATATATACATACATATCCACATACACACACAGTCCGGCCAACTTCCCTCACCTCCATCCACCACCACCTCCCTCCGGTGACCACCACATCCACCAACCACCTGTCTCCTCCGGCAAACACCACATCCATCCACTCATCACCGAAGAACACTTCTGGTTATGTGTGGTTTTGAAAGATAGGGAGTCTCTTGTTGGTTGTCAGTTTCATGGAGTATTTTTGTTGTATCAATAGAGCTCAACGCTTATCCGTTATTTCAACTTGTTTATTAGTTYATGAGTTAGTTTTATGGAGACGTATTAAGAAGTTGTACATGCATAATAAATTGTAGAAGTTTAAAATATAATGAAAGTATTGAATGTATATATTGGCATTTGAATATACTCAWGATTGGAAGTTAGAAACCAGATTAAAAGAATTGAAAAAATACATATCAATATGGGTATCAAATTAAAGAGAATTAAGTACTCGTTTTTATACAATTTWTTTAATCAAAAAACTAATTATATTTAAGATAATTTAGATTTTTAAAAAATTGAGGTAAATGTTCAAGCTTCTATTCTCTTATTGTTTACAGAAGGGGCAAAATAGTAATATTATAAAAAAGAAAGATTTTGTCTGCAATATTGATTTATACTTGATGCTTTAATAGATGTATTCTTGAAAAACTAAAGAATAAAACCAAATGGTTAATGATATAGTATACATTTGCTGCGTGCACCAATGTATCTCAATTTACTTATCTTACCGCAACATGAGTCATTAACGAGAACAGAGTTACCTATAAGCAACACGCGTGGCTTGGAAGACAACTTCCCTAGACTCCCCAGAACCAAGTTCAATTGCCCGTGCTGACGGTGAGAAAGCATATTCCTAAAGATTACAACAGCAATTAATGTTCAAAATGACAAAATTAAAATAATAGTGTACGATATCAAATAAGTTGAAGAGCCAAGTACCTTTAACAGAGGACGGAGATAAAAACTCCCAGGAAACAAGTTATCGAATACGAAAGTTCCACCAGCAGCAGATATCGAGTTATTTCTATAACCATCTTCCCCGCTCAATGATAACAATACAGAAGGAAATAATTCGTTGGCATCTTCTTTAGAATGTATATGTACAGAGATCTGACCAAGCTTCTGACAGGAAAAGGAATTGGGTCCAGTTTCCTTTACATGATAGCCAGACTATTAGAAGAAAAAGATATCTTTAGTACATAAAAGGTCACATGCTGGATCGTTCTGGCTCCTAAGTAATGTAAAATGTTGCTTCYTATGGTAACAGATTCCATTTATTGAATAACAGGTTGGGACTGCAAAATAATGGATACACCAACTAGTCCTACATCACTAACCTGACTGCACCCGTTATGTAACCGGTAGCCTTGGTCTAGATAAGGTTGATGAGAACCTTAAATTAATCTAAGCCTTAAGTTTAGGAAACCAAAGCAATCCAACCAAAACTTCAWGTATTGGGCTACACATAGCAAACATCACATGCATTCTACATCCTAATGGGTCCCTAACTTTCACTTTCTAGTTTGTTTACATAGTCAAGGAGTAGATCTTTTTTCAATTGATATTGCTAAAAGAACATGTGTTAAGGATTGGAAATTTAAAAACTAAAAAGTATTACATGGTTGAGGTTGTCCATCTTACATTACAAGGAGAACAAAATTTACTAAGCTCTAAATAATACAAGGCCTGAGACAGGTCTTTTGTTTGATAAATAACTCTTGCAATGTTGCTTTAAAGTTGGTGGTGCTTCCTATTAGATTGTTGGCTAAGCACTTGAACTCAAACATGGAAGTACAGGGACTGTTTCAATGATAACTCCTGCTATAACGCAGTGGCTGTGCAGAAACAAACCTAAATATTAAAGGCAAGCAACGGAAACTGGCACTCTAGTATATATGTTGCTTTTTTTATTAATCTTTTCTTCATTTAAGCTATTAGTACAAAAGCTATACACACATGTACAGACTAAAACCTGAAACAATTTTAGTGCATTATCTTACACCTGCRAAAAGCACATCAGGATGTTGTATAGCATCAGTGATTGGATTTTAAAAGAAGCAGGTTCAGACCTTTGAAGCCTCGATATGGTAAGGTATGTCATCATATAGGGGTCCCCCAATAAATAAACCATCTTTGCTTGTAGTTGTTTCAAAAGCTAGTTCATTTTTCTTGATTTGAGCATTGTGACTATCTCCAGCAGCCCTTATTCTAATAATAACATCTGGAAGTGGGGGAGAAACTGATCCTTCAATGTACAAACCCAGTCGCCCAGAAAATGGAGGAACTGAAGCTTGACAGCCATCATGTGCCACTTTGACCTGATTAGAAAAGTAGGACTTAGAAGTGACGCCTGAAAAAATATGAAAGTTGCATCAATCATATTTCAAGAGCTGTTTACCTGATGTTGTYGAGGATAAAATAAAATTTTCTTTTCCCTTTTGCTCCTGCATACACAGATTAGTCCAGGTTTAGGCATGTTGTATGCATTCATACAGGGTGGACTGCATATCTAAACAACCAGACAAAGAAGGATGGATCCTGGCTACTGGAAGGATCTAGTTAGACAAGGGGAACAGAGGGCACAGACAAATGTCCCTGTATAAAAGAGATAAATATATTTCCATKCCATAGGACCTAGTAAAAACATTGAGAACCTGTTCTTTTAGAGCATAACTCCTCTTTTTCTCAATTAATTATCCAATTTGAATCTTTCTTTCAGATTGCATTTGCAGGGTTTTAAGGAAAATTGTGTGCAACAATCATTCAGGGACATCATCTATATATCAGCAGAAGTACTAACATTCAAGAAAAATAAAGCATAACTTAAAAAGATTAGTTTTACAACCCATGTGAACCCTAAACTTGAACATTATACTAGTACTTAAATCAACAAGGCATGATGGTTGAAATTATCGTCACTGTAAGAAAAAGAACATAGAGAATACAGCACATTTCTTACGTTTAAATCAGAGGCCCCGAGTCAAAACACTCGGTCCACTTGAAAATGATAATAGAATTAATCAAACTTGGGCTATTATGTTAATGGGTTTATCACTTATGTGTGGAAATCGACATCAGGCAGTGATCATTACTAAACATAAGCTACACATTATTTCATTCAGTGSCAACTCGTAAGTGCCAATCTGGCTTATCAAAAACCTACAAGCCAGWTTGCTAAGATGCACAATATGAAAGGATAATTAGTGGAAGATACGGAACTGCGAATGAGGATGAAACAGTTGACATAACACACAAGATTTACCATGTGTCCCGAGGTACAAATGTAAGTCTTTCTCCAGGATTGGCCCATACTTCAAACTCATAAAGAGCTGTATTTGATTCCTCATTTCCGATGACTACAAACCTTGCAGTACTGCCATCAATAACAGTTCCTTTATCGTTCAAAATATCGATCGGTAKATTTTCAGGTAACTGGCCAACACCGTTTTGTGAGCTCAACTGAACCCTTATTTGTCCTTGAAGGAGATACTTCTCCCCTYTCAGATAAATAGGCTAAGGAGACAAAAAAAAAACATGAGAATTGAAGCATAAAAGAACAGGCTTACAAGTTACAAGAGCCCAGCAGTGAAAATAAGCAAATGAACAACATACCAATGTGTTAGCTGTGTCAATTTTCACAGGTAAGCTCCCAAAAAGTATACAAGAGTTTACAAAGTGAACTTCATGCACTCCAGGAGTTTCAATGCATATGCGTTGAGGACCTTTCTGCAATTCACACCGGGATGAAGGTGGGGAAAGCAAGGTCAAATGGAAGTGCATAGAGTATGGTATTGACCTTTGACATCGTTTGTGTGTGAATGCTCTTAAATACCTTAATTTTTAGATTCACATGAGAACCATCTGATTGTTGCAGATATGCATCCACGTCATGAGTGGAAACTAAGTTAATCCAATAACCTTTCTGAACAAAGTTAATCCCTTCAACATCTTCCGTTCCAACATTTATATGTACATAGCTCTGTTCCCAGCACCATTTATCTTCTCCAGATATAGCTCCTTTAGAAAGGTGTTTTACCTAAAAAGACAGCAAACAGAAATCTAAATCAAAACTAATAGTTAGGAGATTAAAAATGTAATGAGGGAATGACTAGCTCATAACTTAACAATGCAAACATTTAAAAGAGTATATCACAATAACACTTCTAAAACTTTGAGATACTTAAACAAATCCTWTATTTCTCAAGCTAGTTGGATAAAGGTGTAATGGTACATAGGGAACTAAAGAGGCTAATGATAACATATACTAAAACAAGAAAAGGAAAARAATGTGGACAGAAAATGTATTCATTGATATTGTCTTTCTGAACTCTGAATTACCATATTTCATGGTTCAATAATCAGGGAAGTATTCACATTGTTTCAAAAGGGTGTGGCCACAAAGCGAGCAACTCAACAAGGCAAGAAGGGTGAAAAAAAACTAATTCAAYACTAAAGAACGTCTACACATTCAACAAATACAAATTGGGAAGAACAATCATATATTCAATGTGATTGCTCTTTATTCACAATCAAAACAATTTGTATACACCAAATCAATTTTAGAGGACAAATAGTGATCAGAAAGCAATGTGATACCTCAAGCCCATATTTTCCAGGTAGCACATTCTGAAATAAAAATTCACTACTCTGGTCAGTCAAACCAACTGTCTGCCTCTCTTCATTGCTTTTAGTATCCAACCTCACAAGAGCAAGAGAAACAGAWGAATCACAATTTTCTTTGCAAGTTACCGAGCCACGTACATTAACTTGTGCCTGAGATTTAAGAGAACAAAATCAAGTAAGATACCAATATCTGTCTTAGATCACGTTTGTAGTATAATGCTCCATCAAGCCTAAAATAAATGTCCCCTATTGATTCCAAATTCAAATGGCTCAACTTCAATATTGATGTGATCTAATCGTCCAGAGAAGAACTGAACTACATTAAAATGTACAAGAAGCGGAACAAGCACAACAAATAGGAAGAAATTRTCATAATCATTATGTAGGAGAGATGGCGAGTGGTTGAAGGCGTAACATTGGAACTGCTACGTAGGCTATTTTTTGTTTGGTCAGAAGAGTCCTCCAAATATTTTGGTCTTTATAAAAAAGATAATCCATATATGGTATACAAGTACTAGATTGGCACTCGAGGTTTGAAAAAGACAAGTACATTAGGACACAGTGAATATATATCCAGCGGTTCAAAAAGGTTTTAGAACTGACAAGGCTAAAGATCCTGACTTTCGTTTGGATGATTGATATTTAGTGACCAAAGTTAAAAACCTGGGAAAAGATACACAAAATTTCAACTTCAAGATACAATCACCTGATAAAATTTCAGCGACAGCAAGGGACCATTGACATTGACATCAATATGGGGTGGCGAAAAKAGAAGATCTGGAGTAGTTTCAGGTGTGGCTGCAATAGCTGATAACCGGTAGTCACCAGGTGGAACCTGAAAAAATTAAGACCACTGAAGTGATGCAAATCAAAAAATGCAGTAAATAGATACCTCAAAGTAAATTTATGCATTATGAAGAGGATGTGTTCCTATCTTATGACAATTACATCAAACAGATGTACATGAAGAGTTCAGCAAAAAATAGAGAGGAATAAAAAAAAATTCTTCTAAAAGAGAAAGAACCCACACACCACCAAGCAGAGAGCCAAAARGTTGGTTTGTTAAAGACCTCATATGCCAAAGTCACATGAAGGGTGCACTAGTGAAGTCTTCACACTAAAAACCKGCCAGAAGGGGAAACAGATAGACACTTCATGCAGATGGAAACCAAGATAATAAAGTAGTGGTGAAGGTCTCTCCCTTTACTGTGTAAAGTTGCAGATTTMCATTTCCGCCTGTGTTACAATGGGGAGACAAACAATACCAAGGGCAGGGTTCCATCAACAGTCCCTTATTTGGAAGGCACATGATGAATAATGTGCCTACACACTTCTCAATTAACTGCTAGCTAAAAAATGAACCAGACCACCAAAGAAGATATCTTTCTCCAAGTATGCCTTTCCATTGAACTCCCTAACAATAATAACAAGACCCATAGACCAAACTCTGCGGCCCTAAGTCGTGATTGATCACGACACAGGAAGAGGCCTTCCTCATCAGGCAACCTTGTCCWAGGTAGGGTTTATAAAGAAACCCAACCATCTTTCTAAATCTTGGAATTTCCATGTAAAAGGTCTTATAAAATCAGGATCCTTGCAATCAAATATAGATCTGCAACACCCATGACATATTTTGTCGTCTTTAACCATTGACCATGCCCAAAGAACTGAGCATTGGGAGAAGTATCATCTAATTCCGTTAGCTTTCTTGTAATTCCGTGCTSTCTACTTAAAATTGCTAAGTAGCATCAAGCTCAGGATAGTGGCTACTGATGGTAGCTACATGCCTTCCATCACCGTAATAGTGGTCTTCATCTCCATCACCATCTCTACTCATCATAGACCACATCTGCTTGAAACACCTAGCCCGCATGTAAGTCTTGAGGCCGCTGCACCTCCCTAGAACTGCTCTTAGGCATCCTCAATGTGCTTRGAATTCCTCATCACCTGTAACCTCTCTGAAACAACCACCTCTCGCAGACAGGTAGACCTGCAAGCTGGGTATGTTCACCTAACTAGCACACCCAACTAACACAYTGTTGTTAATTATCGGGTTGAACAGCAACCTGTCTAACAAATCTATCCATGTTCATCGATGTACTGCTGCTGCAACTGATTCTGCTCTGTTTCTCTGTTGTTGCTATGATCAGATTCAGAGCCATAAGAACTTGTAGTGATGTTCGCTATTCTGTCTTCCTAGTTATTTTGCTGGTTTGTTGTCCTGTTCTTTCCTGCATGCTACTGGTACTGTCTGATATCCTTTTAAGTTGTTATGAAAGAAAAAACGGTGACAATACTGAGAAGAGAYTAGCAGAATTGTGAGYCATAATTATGTTCTGAAAAATCCAATTAAACTGAATGCTCATGGTTGGTGGAGTATAGTCTCCCAAGTGTGATGAAGGGCCACTAGGCACTAGCCAACATACAACCCTCTGTCACCAATGACCAAATAGTTGGATGCATTATGTACGTAATTCCATGGAGCCACATATTAGATCTGCAGCTATTTGTTGTGTGACTTCAGAGGAAGTATGCACTTGACTTGCCATCTAATGTGGATTATTTGCAAGCCAATAAATAAACTCACCAAAGTGTYGAGAATAGGATGTTGTTTCCTAAACTATGCTGTTAAATGCGGCACAATAGCGGCGCAATAGTGGTTATAGGACATATGAAAAATAGCGGTGGTCAAATAGTAGTCTAAATTGCGGTTCTGATAATAGCGGCGCAATTTCGCTATTTCACCGATATTTAGGGTAAAATTGCGGGCGCAATAGCGGTATTTAGGTTGGGTTTTTTTGGGCTTTATTTTGAGTTTTTGACTTGGGCCTTTTATTTCGATTTGGGTTGTGATTTAATTTTAAGCTTTCAAGTTCTTTCTATCATCGACCCAAGTCAACAATTGCAGCCTCCTCCTGATCAACACTCCTCCAGCCTCCTCCCGATCGATACTTTTCCTATTTTGTTTTGTGAAACTTGTTTTAGTTGATGTTTTGATGTTGAAACTATATTTTTAATTAACGCATATAATATGTTAAATTATGTATGCATACATGTATAATTATATACACTATATATAATTCTAAGAAATATTATATGAACCGCTATTTTTGGACCGCTATACCACCGTAATAACCGCTATCCAAATACCCGTCATGACCGCTATTTTGTMTTTTGACCCTATGCTGTTACTGCGGTCAAAATACAAAATATCGGTCAGGACCGATATTCGATATTTCGGTTATATCAATGATATATCGGTCCAAAATAGCCGTTAATATAATATTTTATATATATATATATATATAAATATATTATGTGTGCATCCGTAAACATATCATATGCATTAATTAGAGTTTAGAAATATAGTTTCAAAATTAAAACATCACATAAACAAGTCTCATAAAACAAAATAGGAAAAGTGTTAAAAAAAATAAGCGTGAACTGTGAAAGAATCAAGAAGAGAAGAAGCGTGAACTGTGAAGAACCGAGAAGAGAAGAAGCRTGAGACCTGATATAGGTGTTGACTGGTTAACCAAATAAAGAGGCCCAAAAAACTAAGCCCAACATGTAATAAAAAAGCCCAAACATTTGCCTTATAGAAAATTGGTATATCGGACCGATTTTTCCATCAAAATATCGGTGAAATATCGGTAAATATCGGCGAATTGTCGGAACCGATATTTTGACTGATATTTCACCACCGATATTCTTCCAAAGACCCGATATCCGATATATCGCGATTTTAACAGCATAGTTTTGACCGTTGAAACAACATAGTTCCTAAAACAAGGAAAGCTTACAAGATCCATAGAGATACAAACTAGTTGTGTACCCGCGCAATGCGGCGGGAGCCATGAATTTTAACGATTTTGAAGTTCCACTGGTTTTATAAGATAAGATTTAACGATAATATATGTTATACTTGGTCTTTGCATATTAATACAATTTGAATAAATAAGAGTTATGGTTCCAATTACAGACTATCAATGAAAAAAATTGTATGACAGTTTAAAATCCAATATATTTAAAATCCAACATATTTAAACGACTCCACAAATGTATTCGATTTACACCAAGAGCAAAGAACCAAGAAACTTGAGTTTTAAGGTAAACACTCAAAACCAATAAAAAAACCTACAAATTTGACAGATCATAAGCCATGAAAAGACAAAAAAAGATGGGTTTTAGAATGAAATTTCAACTGCTTACCCTCTTTCTTGTCCAGAAACTCATATTAAGGTTGAATTGATACATGTATATATATATTTCAAAAAAACCCAAGAACATATTAATTCAAAACATAATATACAGTGCAATTTGGACAGTCTAACCCCAAAATATATAGTATATATATAAATAAATAACTATAAAAGTATAAATCGTAAATATTAAAAATATTTTTTTCACAGTATATATAATATATAATAATATAATTAAGTCAAAAACTATTAAATACTGGACTCATTTCGAAGGTATTAACGAGACGATTATAATGGTGTAACTTGTTAAAATAAAAATGTATTTTTTAAACATGTTTTAATTGATTTACGATTATATATGTTAATTTGATAAAGGTTTAAAATGAAATATTTAAAAGTAAAGGACATAAAGTAAATTAATTAATTAATTATAGGGGTATAAAGTGTAAATTTAAAATTATAATTTTAAAAAAATAGGTTGTGAGAGGGTGAGTGTATGTGAGGAGGTGAGTGTATGTGAGGAGAGGAGGGGGTGAAAAAGTGAAAAAGTGAGTATAAAGGGTATTTTGGTCATTAAGTATTTTAAGACTTCTTTTGCTAAATTTGCTTAATAAGATAGTATAGATGATTGGCAAGAAAGTTCAATTACTAACCATTACACAATACGACCTCTCTTAATGAGTTTGGTCATTCAATGTATATTAGTATATATGCCCTGAAGCTAGTCGAAGAGATGTGGTTCTCCCGATCTTGAGTTACCTCAAGGCCCTCCTTGCAAGAGGGGGGGCATGTAGGGTTCTTAGATGCAAATTGGACGATAATCTATTATTGATTCTAATATTTTTTTGTGGGTGGTAACTTATCTTTACGAAGAGGAAGAAGCAACATATTGTAGCTCGTTGCATGTTGAACTCAAGTATTGGGATTGGCATTCGTCACTAGTGAGATGTTATAGGGGTTAGCAACATGCACAAAGAAACAATTAAGGCTATAGTAAGATGATTGAAATGTTATCCATTGATGTGGTGGTCACCTTGTGATGAATCCTTTTTTAAGTAATACTCATGCACACTCCTAACCTTTGGTGAGGTTTGGACCCCTGACCTCCTTGGAGGCTGGGATCTACCGGTAACCCGGATACCGCTGGACCAACAACCCTTCTAGTTAAGCACATTCATGTCTGATACACCATTAGTTGATGCATCCAGTTGGAAAATATTCAAACAAAACCTCTCCAAAAGACATCATCAGCTATATTTGCAGCAAGCTAGGCATGACTAACAACTAGGCATCACCTTATGGAAGAGTTCAAAAAGCAACTTTTGTTAGGTTACATATATTTTCAGTAATGTATCTGTTAACAATTTTAGGTAGGGTTTTCAAATTTTCTGTTGTTTAAGGCCCATGGTCCACCTTCATATCTAACCAAATGGGGTTCTTCCCTCAACACTAAAAACATCTTTTGTTCACCCCTAACTCACATTCTACTACGTAAAAGATGAACATATATTGTGCAGAGTGTACTATATCACCTCTTTCTGCAGCAACACATCAAAGAAACTACAAGCCCAAGAAACTGAGTTGAACTTTAGAGTATACTCGTGGAAAATCTGTATCAATCTGAATCACAAACAGATAGACAGGAAATGCACAGAGAAAGAGCCCACACAGCCATCAGATTGGTTGAAGACATCTCAACTCTGCATGACACATGGCTGGTGGAAAAAAAGGTCAATTAACTATAGACATTTATCTTGACCAAGTCATGTTTATCTGCCAAAGATAATCAGTTTATAAATCATGGCAGCATAAAATTATCTCTCTTATTTCCTTCTCCAAGATGCCAAATCAATTTCCTATTGCAACTTGAGTCACAACAACCACAAAATCGAACTTATAATTATCAGTAATCTTTATCATGCAAAAGACTCAACCAAGTGACCACAAAGCCATTCAATTATGTCCCAATTAACCAAGTGAAACAAAAACCTATGTCCTAAAGCATACATAATTGTGGTTATCATAAATAAAAACTATAATATTTGCTCTTAACTGAAGATTCTGTACCTCAAAACAGAAATAGCCGCTATCATCAGTCTTTTTCATTTGCGGCTTAACATTCTGTGGTCCATGAGTCAGAGCTACCTGGAAAAGGTATAATGGTTGAGTTAACAACAAAGCATGTTCACTATCTCAAAACCCATGCCTAAAACATTGACTGTACGTAGATACATGCAAGGTAACTGGAACAAACAACTCTAAATATACATTCTTCAGCTGCACAAGATTTTAATATGTAACCGAGGATAAATGTATTTTCTCTAACCCCTGTGGAAGAAAGAAGTAGAAGAGTGAAACAGGAGTCTAATTGACAATCATTATTACTGCACTACAAACCACACCATCAAAACAGATCACTCTCTCAACAACCACAACATTTATGTAGCCAATTATGTAAGCCAATGTGGCCAACAAAGACGAATAGCTTAAATGTTGCCAATGCCTCTACTCCCAGCAACCATCAAGTTAAACAATCCTAATTGGCACCATCCATGACGCACTCAAAGAATGCAATTTATGAACGACAGAGAATGTTGGAATTACCTTTGCTTTGTAACCAGAATCAACGGTCTGCACTAAGCCACAAACATCATAGGACACTGCTTTTATATCAACAACTGATGCCATATTTGGTAAAACCTGAAATTCAGTAACATTGAATGTGAGAGAAGCTGCAAAATGAATAAAAACAATGTCAAATGTGCCTAGTTTTGTGGTGCACTTGCCATCAAGTTGATCAGTTTGTCAAACTTGTAGTGCTCCTTTGTCGCTTCAATCAGATACTGCTTAGATGTAACCTATAAGAGAACAGAAATGGAAACATTAGAAAGGAGAAGATGCAAAATCAAGCTCCAAGCAAAGAACAATTCGCCCATAGAATAACAAAATACCAGTCCAAGTACAAAGTGTATAAAATAATCATATAATGCATAAAAAGAAAAAGCCCACAAATTGGAATGGAAGCCTTCAAACTAAAGAGGAAGAGATTGCCACTGTGTCATTTCTTTCAATAGTATACGAGAAAAACTTAAGCCATCAAATTATCCTGTTCACTAAGTTTCCCGGATCCAATTCCGAACCATGTAGAGAAAAGGAGGTTACTCCTTTCAGCCTTACCCACAACATGCGTAATATTTGAATTGAAGTGATCCATTTCTCTAATCATTTTAAATGCAAAAAGAAGCCTTGATTGCCATTTCCGCGTCCCTCTATGTATATATTCAATCACTGTGTCTCCTTCCTAACAACGCTATCATCAATCACAATTGTTCTCTAAACAGCCACCCATGCAAAAATATGTTATTGCAGATTATTTAACCTCAAGATTCCAGCCTACGAACCTCAAGATGGAATAGAAATTCCTGGGAATACAATTCGTCCAGAAAAATAAAAGGCATACCACTTCACTACATCCTTTATCTCCACCAATCTGGCAAAATTTCAACTACCTTTTCAACATGAAGTAAGAATATTCAAATGCATAATAGATGCTCAACATATAGAATAATATATGTGTGTATAAAATAAGAATATTTGTTACACCCGTTAGGCAACAAATAGAAGACGATAAAACAGATATAAAACTAGAAATAAATACAAAAAAATACATGATTTTTATGACATTTTACAGGATAAAGTAGGAAGAAACAGATATAGTCCTGCCAAAACCTACAAGAAAATTGAGAAATATTATGCAAGGCACGATTTGAGATGAACGAACTTACCTGGTCGAGCTTATAATATCCTTCTTTATCAGTGATAGACCTCTCAAGGCCATCCACCACTATTTTTACACCATCCACTCCCTTTCCATTATCATCAACAACACGACCGCCAACAGAAAAACCAGTGACCTGCCAGGGTTTNTTTTGATGTTGAAACTATATTTTTAATTAACGCATATAATATGTTAAATTATGTATGCATACATGTATAATTATATACACTATATATAATTCTAAAAAATATTATATGAACCGCTATTTTTGGACCGCTATACCACCGTAATAACCGCTATCCAAATACCCGTCATGACCGCTATTTTGTCTTTTGACCCTATGCTGTTACTGCGGTCAAAATACAAAATATCGGTCAGGACCGATATTCGATATTTCGGTTATATCAATGATATATCGGTCCAAAATAGCCGTTAATATAATATTTTATATATATATATATATATAAATATATTATGTGTGCATCCGTAAACATATCATATGCATTAATTAGAGTTTAGAAATATAGTTTCAAAATTAAAACATCACATAAACAAGTCTCATAAAACAAAATAGGAAAAGTGTTAAAAAAAATAAGCGTGAACTGTGAAAGAATCAAGAAGAGAAGAAGCGTGAACTGTGAAGAACCGAGAAGAGAAGAAGCRTGAGACCTGATATAGGTGTTGACTGGTTAACCAAATAAAGAGGCCCAAAAAACTAAGCCCAACATGTAATAAAAAAGCCCAAACATTTGCCTTATAGAAAATTGGTATATCGGACCGATTTTTCCATCAAAATATCGGTGAAATATCGGTAAATATCGGCGAATTGTCGGAACCGATATTTTGACTGATATTTCACCACCGATATTCTTCCAAAGACCCGATATCCGATATATCGCGATTTTAACAGCATAGTTTTGACCGTTGAAACAACATAGTTCCTAAAACAAGGAAAGCTTACAAGATCCATAGAGATACAAACTAGTTGTGTACCCGCGCAATGCGGCGGGAGCCATGAATTTTAACGATTTTGAAGTTCCACTGGTTTTATAAGATAAGATTTAACGATAATATATGTTATACTTGGTCTTTGCATATTAATACAATTTGAATAAATAAGAGTTATGGTTCCAATTACAGACTATCAATGAAAAAAATTGTATGACAGTTTAAAATCCAATATATTTAAAATCCAACATATTTAAACGACTCCACAAATGTATTCGATTTACACCAAGAGCAAAGAACCAAGAAACTTGAGTTTTAAGGTAAACACTCAAAACCAATAAAAAAACCTACAAATTTGACAGATCATAAGCCATGAAAAGACAAAAAAAGATGGGTTTTAGAATGAAATTTCAACTGCTTACCCTCTTTCTTGTCCAGAAACTCATATTAAGGTTGAATTGATACATGTATATATATATTTCAAAAAAACCCAAGAACATATTAATTCAAAACATAATATACAGTGCAATTTGGACAGTCTAACCCCAAAATATATAGTATATATATAAATAAATAACTATAAAAGTATAAATCGTAAATATTAAAAATATTTTTTTCACAGTATATATAATATATAATAATATAATTAAGTCAAAAACTATTAAATACTGGACTCATTTCGAAGGTATTAACGAGACGATTATAATGGTGTAACTTGTTAAAATAAAAATGTATTTTTTAAACATGTTTTAATTGATTTACGATTATATATGTTAATTTGATAAAGGTTTAAAATGAAATATTTAAAAGTAAAGGACATAAAGTAAATTAATTAATTAATTATAGGGGTATAAAGTGTAAATTTAAAATTATAATTTTAAAAAAATAGGTTGTGAGAGGGTGAGTGTATGTGAGGAGGTGAGTGTATGTGAGGAGAGGAGGGGGTGAAAAAGTGAAAAAGTGAGTATAAAGGGTATTTTGGTCATTAAGTATTTTAAGACTTCTTTTGCTAAATTTGCTTAATAAGATAGTATAGATGATTGGCAAGAAAGTTCAATTACTAACCATTACACAATATGACCTCTCTTAATGAGTTTGGTCATTCAATGTATATTAGTATATATGCCCTGAAGCTAGTCGAAGAGATGTGGTTCTCCCGATCTTGAGTTACCTCAAGGCCCTCCTTGCAAGAGGGGGGGCATGTAGGGTTCTTAGATGCAAATTGGACGATAATCTATTATTGATTCTAATATTTTTTTGTGGGTGGTAACTTATCTTTACGAAGAGGAAGAAGCAACATATTGTAGCTCGTTGCATGTTGAACTCAAGTATTGGGATTGGCATTCGTCACTAGTGAGATGTTATAGGGGTTAGCAACATGCACAAAGAAACAATTAAGGCTATAGTAAGATGATTGAAATGTTATCCATTGATGTGGTGGTCACCTTGTGATGAATCCTTTTTTAAGTAATACTCAYGCACACTCCTAACCTTTGGTGAGGTTTGGACCCCTGACCTCCTTGGAGGCTGGGATCTACCGGTAACCCGGATACCGCTGGACCAACAACCCTTCTAGTTAAGCACATTCATGTCTGATACACCATTAGTTGATGCATCCAGTTGGAAAATATTCAAACAAAACCTCTCCAAAAGACATCATCAGCTATATTTGCAGCAAGCTAGGCATGACTAACAACTAGGCATCACCTTATGGAAGAGTTCAAAAAGCAACTTTTGTTAGGTTACATATATTTTCAGTAATGTATCTGTTAACAATTTTAGGTAGGGTTTTCAAATTTTCTGTTGTTTAAGGCCCATGGTCCACCTTCATATCTAACCAAATGGGGTTCTTCCCTCAACACTAAAAACATCTTTTGTTCACCCCTAACTCACATTCTACTACGTAAAAGATGAACATATATTGTGCAGAGTGTACTATATCACCTCTTTCTGCAGCAACACATCAAAGAAACTACAAGCCCAAGAAACTGAGTTGAACTTTAGAGTATACTCGTGGAAAATCTGTATCAATCTGAATCACAAACAGATAGACAGGAAATGCACAGAGAAAGAGCCCACACAGCCATCAGATTGGTTGAAGACATCTCAACTCTGCATGACACATGGCTGGTGGAAAAAAAGGTCAATTAACTATAGACATTTATCTTGACCAAGTCATGTTTATCTGCCAAAGATAATCAGTTTATAAATCATGGCAGCATAAAATTATCTCTCTTATTTCCTTCTCCAAGATGCCAAATCAATTTCCTATTGCAACTTGAGTCACAACAACCACAAAATCGAACTTATAATTATCAGTAATCTTTATCATGCAAAAGACTCAACCAAGTGACCACAAAGCCATTCAATTATGTCCCAATTAACCAAGTGAAACAAAAACCTATGTCCTAAAGCATACATAATTGTGGTTATCATAAATAAAAACTATAATATTTGCTCTTAACTGAAGATTCTGTACCTCAAAACAGAAATAGCCGCTATCATCAGTCTTTTTCATTTGCGGCTTAACATTCTGTGGTCCATGAGTCAGAGCTACCTGGAAAAGGTATAATGGTTGAGTTAACAACAAAGCATGTTCACTATCTCAAAACCCATGCCTAAAACATTGACTGTACGTAGATACATGCAAGGTAACTGGAACAAACAACTCTAAATATACATTCTTCAGCTGCACAAGATTTTAATATGTAACCGAGGATAAATGTATTTTCTCTAACCCCTGTGGAAGAAAGAAGTAGAAGAGTGAAACAGGAGTCTAATTGACAATCATTATTACTGCACTACAAACCACACCATCAAAACAGATCACTCTCTCAACAACCACAACATTTATGTAGCCAATTATGTAAGCCAATGTGGCCAACAAAGACGAATAGCTTAAATGTTGCCAATGCCTCTACTCCCAGCAACCATCAAGTTAAACAATCCTAATTGGCACCATCCATGACGCACTCAAAGAATGCAATTTATGAACGACAGAGAATGTTGGAATTACCTTTGCTTTGTAACCAGAATCAACGGTCTGCACTAAGCCACAAACATCATAGGACACTGCTTTTATATCAACAACTGATGCCATATTTGGTAAAACCTGAAATTCAGTAACATTGAATGTGAGAGAAGCTGCAAAATGAATAAAAACAATGTCAAATGTGCCTAGTTTTGTGGTGCACTTGCCATCAAGTTGATCAGTTTGTCAAACTTGTAGTGCTCCTTTGTCGCTTCAATCAGATACTGCTTAGATGTAACCTATAAGAGAACAGAAATGGAAACATTAGAAAGGAGAAGATGCAAAATCAAGCTCCAAGCAAAGAACAATTCGCCCATAGAATAACAAAATACCAGTCCAAGTACAAAGTGTATAAAATAATCATATAATGCATAAAAAGAAAAAGCCCACAAATTGGAATGGAAGCCTTCAAACTAAAGAGGAAGAGATTGCCACTGTGTCATTTCTTTCAATAGTATACGAGAAAAACTTAAGCCATCAAATTATCCTGTTCACTAAGTTTCCCGGATCCAATTCCGAACCATGTAGAGAAAAGGAGGTTACTCCTTTCAGCCTTACCCACAACATGCGTAATATTTGAATTGAAGTGATCCATTTCTCTAATCATTTTAAATGCAAAAAGAAGCCTTGATTGCCATTTCCGCGTCCCTCTATGTATATATTCAATCACTGTGTCTCCTTCCTAACAACGCTATCATCAATCACAATTGTTCTCTAAACAGCCACCCATGCAAAAATATGTTATTGCAGATTATTTAACCTCAAGATTCCAGCCTACGAACCTCAAGATGGAATAGAAATTCCTGGGAATACAATTCGTCCAGAAAAATAAAAGGCATACCACTTCACTACATCCTTTATCTCCACCAATCTGGCAAAATTTCAACTACCTTTTCAACATGAAGTAAGAATATTCAAATGCATAATAGATGCTCAACATATAGAATAATATATGTGTGTATAAAATAAGAATATTTGTTACACCCGTTAGGCAACAAATAGAAGACGATAAAACAGATATAAAACTAGAAATAAATACAAAAAAATACATGATTTTTATGACATTTTACAGGATAAAGTAGGAAGAAACAGATATAGTCCTGCCAAAACCTACAAGAAAATTGAGAAATATTATGCAAGGCACGATTTGAGATGAACGAACTTACCTGGTCGAGCTTATAATATCCTTCTTTATCAGTGATAGACCTCTCAAGGCCATCCACCACTATTTTTACACCATCCACTCCCTTTCCATTATCATCAACAACACGACCGCCAACAGAAAAACCAGTGACCTGCCAGGGTTT